CCCAGATTGCTGGAGGCAATATAATGGCTCTCTAAACTGCTTACAGAGAGCTGTAAAGCACTGTGAAGCGATATATGTATAGGTCTAAGTGCTATTGCTATTGGCTCAGCCTTCCAACCTTCCGAGGTGGGTAAAATGAGGCCCAGATTGCTGGAGGCAATATAATGGCTCTCTAAACTGCTTACAGAGAGCTGTAAAGCACTGTGAAGCGATATATGTATAGGTCTAAGTGCTATTGCTATTGGCTCAGCCTTCCAACCTTCCGAGGTGGGTAAAATGAGGCCCAGATTGCTGGAGGCAATATAATGGCTCTCTAAACTGCTTACAGAGAGCTGTAAAGCACTGTGAAGCGATATATGTATAGGTCTAAGTGCTATTGCTATTGGCTCAGCCTTCCAACCTTCCGAGGTGGGTAAAATGAGGCCCAGATTGCTGGAGGCAATATAATGGCTCTCTAAACTGCTTACAGAGAGCTGTAAAGCACTGTGAAGCGATATATGTATAGGTCTAAGTGCTATTGCTATTGCTATTGGCTCAGCCTTCCAACCTTCCGAGGTGGGTAAAATGAGGACCCAGATTGCTGGAGGCAATATACTGAGTCTCTAAACCGTTTAGAGAGGGCTGTAGAGCATTGTGAAGTGGTATATAAGTCTCAAGTGCTATTTCTCTCTTCATCAACATATTGCAATAGACTTTGGGAAGGAAACCCCTGAGGTTGGTGCAAGAGGATTGGTAACGCTTCAACGACTCTCTGCCTTATGAACTTGCTCAGATTAATGAAGCTGCTTTCATGAGCAGCGAAATGTCTCAAGCTAACTAAAACTAGTCCAGTTGCCATCACTCACCTTCAGCCAAGAAGACGAAAAGCGATAGCAGGGCATCTGCAGGGAGACTCAAAAATGTCAAGGGAGTGCCCACCATTGTATGATCTTATTATTCTTAAGAGCTGAATGCAACAAAATTTCATGTGAATGTATGCTAATTAGTGTCCATTTAAAGTGGCAATATTCTGTATTCTATTCTATTCTAATCTATTCCTAGTCCCTATTCTTATTCTATTCTATTCTATTCCATTGTATTCTTTCTCTATTCCTATTCCCTATTCTTATTCTATTCTATTATTCTATTCTATTCTGTTCTATCCTATCCTTATTCTATTCTATTTTATTCTATTCCTTCTCTATTCCTATTCCCTATTCCTATTATTATTTTCTTATTCTATTCTATTATATCCTATCGAATCCTATCCTATCTTTCTTATTCTATTCTATTTTATTCTATTCTTTCTCTATTCTATTTTATTCTATTCTTTCTTTATTCCTCTTCCTCCTCCTCCTCCTTCTTCTTCTTCTTTCCTATCCTAGCCCTAGCCCTAGCCTTATTCTATTTATTCATTCTTTATTCTATTTATTCTCTGTTCTGTTCTATTCCCTCTCTGCCTGCCCATTCTGCCCAGTTCCTGCAAGATGTTTGCATAGCGGTCAGTCTGTGCCCAGGTTGGTGAGCAGCTCCCTTTTTCTGCCCAGCTGGGTGACCTTGAAGCAGTGCCTGGAGGCAGCTTCTACTTTTGTTTCCCCACAAGCCTGCCGCTCCTTTCATTTTCCTCCCCCACACACACAATTTTATGGCACACGGTCGCCACATAATAGTGAACATAAGGTGGCAGCTGTCCTAAACTCACCTTCGGTAGCAGGACCGCCATGTGCTGTTTCCGGTTGGGAGGTTCGTGGGCGATCCACTTGAGAATGGCTTCGAAGACAGCGTCTTCCTGCTTCACGTTGAGTTCGTCCTTTTCAATGATGTCCTTAAACTCATTGACCGAGAGCTCCAGGAATTCAGTCGACGCTTTTACCATTTCCTCAAAGTTGTGCAGGATGAACATGTAGGCGGCCTGACGTAGCTCCGGGCAGTAGTAATACTCGGTGAATTTGCAGATGCCGATGCAATTTTCTAAACAGAGCTGAGACTTCATAAAGTCAGAGCAGGCCCTGACAATACCCATCACATTAAACTGGTCGGCGGCCACTAGGAGCCTCTCCACATTGTCCACCGTAATGGGCACTGTCCTTGTGTAAGCGTATTCAATAATGAGCTTCATCATATCTGGGGTAATACCAGGAATATTATATATCTTTTTTTCGGAGTTGTTCCAACTACTGGTAAACAGAGCTCTGCAAGAGAAGTATTAACAGTCATGGTGTGCTGGGCCTCCAAGGGACAGCATTGGCTTAATACTGGAGTCTCCAAACTTGGTAACTTTTAAGACTTGTGAACTTCAACTCCCAGAATTCCTGGCTGGTGGATTCTGGGAGTTGAAGTCCAGAAATCTTAAAGTTGCTAAGTTTGGAGACTCATGGCTTAATGAAATCCCTCCAGCTTGCTTGCTTATTAGTTTGTTTATTTGTTTAAAATAAGATAACTTTTACTGTGACTTTTTTTCGGTGAACACACTGCACAGATTTTTAAAAAAATGAAATTCTGGTTCCGGCTCTCAAAAGAAAAATGAATATAAAGGTAAAGGTTCTCCTTGCACATCTGTGCTAATCGTTCCTGACTCTAGGGGGCGGTGCTTATCTCCATTTCAAAGCCGAGGAGCCAGCACTGTCTGAAGAAGTCTCCGTGGTCATGTGGCCGGCATGACTCAACGCCAAAGGCGCACGGAACACTGTTCCCTTCCCACC